TATCTGGTCGAGCAATCTGTTCGGATCTCCAGCTATGACCCTTTGGCGATGCTCTTGCAAGAAGCTTTTCACTTCTGACTTGAAGGCACCCCATATATGTTCGATCTGATTCAACATAGGGCTCTCAAACACCGTTCCATCCACTGTAAACAATCTTCTCTTTTGCAATTAAAAACATTTCGAACATATAAAAGGATTTCATCTTCTGAAATTGAACCTACCAATAATAATTCTGAAATACAACTTACCATTTCTGAAATTGAATGGACTTTTTCCGAAATATAACTCACCGATTCCGAAATTGAAGTTGAAAAGGTATAGATCAACCAAAAATCAATAAAACTAAAGTTGAGATTCACCATTTTGAAAACTCAAGTAAACTGTATTTCACACACTACACCACACAGTCACTTTGAAAATCGTCTTGTTTGATAAAGAGCTGTCGAATATAACACAAATAGAATGACAGACAAATACTCTCTAAAGACTGTGCTAGGAGATATACTGATGTTTTATGTTATCATAATAATATACCGATTTTGGCGGAAAGGAATGAAAATTTGTGATGACAATGAAAATTTTCATGTATAGAGAATATTTTCCCGGATTAGTCACCATTATCTATATTTCCTAGAAAAAAAGTTATGTATCATGAAAAAAAAATTCGATTTCAATTTCATTAATTATTGGTTGACCCTAGAGAGATCTTCCTGTAGAAGTTACAGCGATGAAACTTCGTAACTATGTATTCGATGTGTTCCCCTATTGAATAATGACTTCACTGATTATATCAGCGCCTGAATAGACGATTGAATAATACTTATAGCTTCATGCTTTGGTACTTTTTTGTCTGAAGATGACCGTTGCGCCGAAACCGGTCACATGTAATTTTTAATGTTTTTTATAAAGTGTGGTCGACCGACTTTGAGACATTTGGTGTTTTTCTTTCGAAATTACTTTGGACCACTTTGAGATATGGATGATTTTTATGATTCATCTATTTGATAACTTGATTATAATTGGTGACTTGACAACCTTGCTTCATGAGTGGAAATGGAAGATTATCTGACCAATAACGAAACAGCATAAAAACTGACGTATCGCCAAATGGCAGTCATGACGTTACGTTTGAAATTCAACAATGGGCTTATATCACAAAAAATTTTTATTCCATAATTCGATAGAACTCACCCAAACTAGCTCACCACCGCAAACCGTTTATCGCTGTGAGCTCCCTACGTTTTATAAAAAATTATTGAAATCCCCGATTTTTCGGACCTCTGAAAACGAGGCGATGATGTGACGTCAAAACACTGATACTGAAACAAGACTATTTCAGACAAAGATGAATGATACATGATTTCTGACAGAGTGAATTAGCGCGAGATCTCAGTTGAAAGAATTAATATATCAGTTGCCTCAGTCTCCGTCCGGCGTTTGGTATTTTCTTTTAACTTTAGCGAGATGAGGTTTCTACGTCATAAGAGGGTCCGTTTTCAGATGGTACTATTATTTATGTCCAAAAATTGAACATTCCAGTAAATTTTTCGATCGAATTATGTCGTCAATCATTATTTATGTATGAAAGGATCATTATAAACATGGTTTGAGTTAAAAGTTCTACCAAGGTGTACACGCCCATTTTGAACATCGCATTGACTTATTATCTACATAGTTGCAAAATAGTACCCAGTCAACACACGGACATTCGATGAACATCCATTGGACGTCCATTTAGGATATTTGGGATATCCAGAGTATATCCAGTGATATCCGATGTATATCTTATGGACGTCCAATGGACGTGCCGAGTGGAAGGAGTTGGACTTCTATAGGATATCCTTCAGGGACATCCATAAGACATTTTTCAGGGATATCCATAAGATATTGTTCACAAATATCCATGAGATATTTTTCAGGGATATTTACTAAATATCCTTAACAATATAGAACACCATGTATATTATTCCATAATGAATTAGGAACTATTATAACGAATTCAACGGTACCGGATTGGATAGGGTTATTTCAAACGATTACGAAGATATTTGCATTAGAAGTTTTCATATGCTCATTGAGGATATGGAAATGTGAATATCTTCCTAATCGTTTGTAGAAATCCTATCAAACACAGTATCGTTGAATTCCTTATGATAATCCTTAACCGATTATGGAATAAAATACAGGGTGTCCCGTTTGAAAATGCCATCATCGGTTAAACCAAAAGTGCGGTAAAGCAAGTAGATATGTCGAATATAATATAAAATGAACTATAATTCATGACCCCAATTGACGTTTTACTACCTACAATAATGAAAAAGTTATAGGAGTGAACCACCTTAAAAAATCACCAGGTAGGAGTATGTAAAAAAATAAAATTTATTCAATTGTTGCAAACCGAATAACAAATGTTATAATGTGAATATAAATCAAACTAAATAAAATTTTTTATATATAAAAAAACAAGTATACATTCAACAAAGTATAAAATAATAAATATTCTAATTGAATTTGCAAATAACAAAAAATAAAACAGGTCACTATAAGAGAATTAAACAAAGGAAATAAAGGAATACTGTTATGATGGGAATATAAAACTTAGATTCACTTAGATTTTTCCATCTTTCTTTTGGAAAATTTGTCATTCACGCGAATGCCATATTGATTTATATTTTATTGCTTCAGAATATTTTATTACTATCCATTGGGAAAATACCTACCCAGTTTTGAATTCAGGGATGCGAATATATCTTCTTATGGATCTCCATCTCAATCCCAAGGAAAAAAAAATGGAGATACAAGTTATTTCTGAAAAATCATATTTTTGTGCGAAAACAAACAAAAGTTATTTTGACATAAATATGATTTTATGTTTTCTTTGGATATCTTATGGCTATCCATAAGATATCTTCTGATGGATATCCGCTATAAATCCATGGATGAATATCTCATGGATGTCCATCTGAAGACCACAAAAAAGTAAATATATGAGAGCTATTTTCGAGTGATTGTATATTTTTGTACGAAAACATTGAACAACAGAGAAAAATTCCAAACTGTGGTGTTGTTATTTATATGAATTCATATTTGCATCGGATATCTTAATTGTGGCTATAAACATATTATACCTACATAACAATAGTTATATGATGGAAAACTACCTTTGAATGTCTAATAAACATGTGATTTGCATGTGATATTTGTGATGATTCGTATTGTTTTGAACCGAGTTTTGAACCATTCTCAATTAACAATTTTTGTTCGCTAAACGAACATCTTATGGACGTACATAGGTGATCCGCATCAGAATATCCATTTGATATCCTCTGACGGATATCCTATGGATATCCATTTCATGTCCCAGGATATCCCGACCTGAAATGGACTTGAGAAGGATATCCATAGGATATCCTGTGTTATCTGGGTATATTATGAAACAAGTGTTATAAACGTCCTTTTAGTAACGAGTAGTTTAAGCACGAGCGGAGCAGAGCGGAGCGAGTGTTTAATAAACGAGTGTCTAGAAGAGTTTATAAACGCGTTACATACTATGATTTTTCTACGAACTCCAAAAATTACATTAATTAACATACCTGCTATTCCTGCTAACCTACAAAATAATTCGAAAGGAATGGGAATTGAAAACATAATACATACAACTACATGCAACCAGCGAGACACGTATAAGTGATATTGGTTGTAGATCTGTCCAGTCCATTGCTTACTAACCTTTGTTTCACGTTTATTGTCATGCTTAGCGCTGAATAAATAAATTGTTCTCAAAGATGGATGCTTCATTTTTACACTTCTTGGAGGTATGTAAAGACCTGAACATTCTCTTCGATTTCACTCTCGTCTACTTTTCGCATATATTTTTAATGAAGAATTCCGATACAAACGACTATTGTTTGAATAATTCTGATACAAAATATGAAAATAACAGTTGACAATTAATACAATTGACAGACCAGACATGTCTCGAATTACTGAAGCTGTGTTTAATGAACTGCGTTGCCATGTGTTTAAGAAATCGTGTTGCCATGGTAATGTGTTTAATATTATGAATAAATCACAGATCGACAATCCGTGATTAATCGATCATTTAGCGTGGTACATATCCGTACGATAATAGTATGTTATGTAACAAGTGTTATAAACGTCCTTTTAGTAACGAGTAGTTTAAGCACGAGCGGAGCAGAGCGGAGCGAGTGTTTAATAAACGAGTGTCTAGAAGAGTTTATAAACGCGTTACATACTATGATTTTTCTACGAACTCCGAAAATTACATTAACATACCTGCAATTCCTGCTAACCCACAAAATAATTCGAAAGGAATGGAAATTGAGAACATAAGACATGCAACTGCATGCAACCAGCGAGACACGTATAAGTGATATTGGTTGTAGATGTTTCCAGTCCATTGCTTACTAACTTCTGTTTCACGTTTATTGTCATGCTTAGCGCAGAATAAATAAATTGTTCTCAAAGATGGATGCTTCATTTTTACACTTCTTGGTGATATGCAAGTACCAGAACATTCTCTTCGATTTCACTTTCGTCTACTTTTCGCATATACTTTCAATGAAGAATTCTGATACAAACGAATATTGTTTGAATAATTCTGATACAAAATTCGAAGATGAGTTGACAGTTAATACAATTGACAGGCCAGACATGTCTCAAATTACTGAAGCTGTGTTTAATGAACTGCGTTGCCATGGTAATGTGTTTAAGAAATCGTGTCGCCATGGTAACGTGTTTAATATTTTGAATAAATCACAGATCGACAATCCGTGATTAATCGATCATTTAGCGTGGTATACATATCCGTACGATAAATGCTATTTTAGTTATGTGAGTAGAAAAATTGATTTTGGTTCCTAACGGCACAGTGGAGTAATTAAATGCCAATAATTCATTATCAGTCCACTCGCCCATTGACTTTGGCAGGACTATACCTTTCAAGTAAAAAGTTCTCATGTGCATTTTTTTTGTTTTAGCCGTGATCATGCCTATCGACTTCTACTATGTTCCCGGCAGTGCACCATGCAGAAACGTTCTTCTGACTGCCAAAGCTGTCGGAGTGGAACTCAACCTCAAGTACACCGATTTAATGAAAGGGGAGCATTTGACCCCAGAATTCATCAAGGTAAGGTGAAATCTCGACATTTTCGTGTTGTTCACGAAGATAAAAAAAATTGAATAGACAAAAATTTCGTGAATTTAACAATATCTCTATGACATATATTCACGATAACATTCCTTGTATGTTATAAGTTGTAACCGCAACAAGATATTTCTGTTATTTTTTAACAAAAAAATCATTTTTTCTGTGACGGGAAAAAAGTTTGGCATTTCCTCTCTGTTGGCAGGTTATAAAATTTCACTTTTCATAAATAACTATTTTCCCGTGGGAATAAAGTGAGTACTTTTTTCCCGGATATATATCACATACACTGTTGATGGCTTTTGTTGTCCTATAGTTCCGAAAAATGAGTCAATAATACCGTCTCCGAGAAAAAACTGCAAGTCCTTTTATCTTCCATTCGACTTCGCGGTTACGTATATTACTAAACAACCACTAAATTCGCAATTTTTGAAATCAAATCACAGAATTAGACTGACAGAAGTGACATCAGATATTTGATTACTTCAAAAGAATGATGAAGATACCTACAACGCAGGTGTCCCTACTGTTAAACACTTAAAATTTCACATCGATAATTTTCAGATTTCGAAATAATGTGATATCTTCTCAATATTGATTCGTCCTTTCTTCTGTCACAGAAAAAAATAGTGTATTATATACGGGAAAAATATTAGATTTTAGCTCCAGGTTGTGTTGTCTCTCGACTTCGCGGTTACGTATATTACTAAACAACCACTAAATTCGCAATTTTTTGAAATCAAATCACAGAATTAGACTGACAGAAGTGACATCAGATATTTGATTACTTCAAAAGAATGATGAAGATGCCTACAACGCAGGTGTCCCTACTGTTAAACACTTAAAATTTCACATCGATAATTATCAGATTCCAAAATAATGTAATATCTTCTCAATATTGATTCGTCCTTTCTTCTGTCACAGAAAAAAATAGTGTATTATACACGGGAAAAATATTAGATTTGAGCTCCAGGTTGTGTTGTCTCTCGACTGCGCGTCGGGAGACAACACAACCTGGAGCTAAAATCTACTACTTTTTTCCCTTGTATAATGAATAACTATTGATCCAACCAAAAAAAAGTTTGTGTTACAATTCCTTCTTTTTTGCTGTATTCATCCAACTTTGTGTGACAAAATTAAAACGGCGATATAGTTCAACCGATTAACTGCCTAAGGCCTTCTCACAGTCTTACACAATGATGGATATACATTATATCATTATTTTTAGAAGGCCGCATTGAAGTCAATGTCCTTTTGAAGTGTACTATATGTATAGAAGGTTTTCTTCAGGACAGTTTATAGGTTCGAGCTCGGGTTTCTAACGATATGGACTATATACAGTGTGTCTCTGAATTGACTTTGAGGTGAGTGTAGTGTATACACCAAAAATACAGAGAGAAATTCGACAACGCTTCAGGTAATGGTCCTCTTCTTTGGATAGGCTCTTCGATCAATTGTCGATATTTTGCCCTGTATAATTCCCCTCATCAAATTTGGTATGAGAAATTGCTTTTCAGTACACAAGGTGGCTCAAATTAATGGTCCAAAAACAGCAATATGCGAATATTGACATTTAAAAAACAACTGAAGAGGGAGGAACCTATTTTCACTATAAAACACAAAAAACGCTACATATTCAGTTTGCGGTTTCAATTACAGGTTTTCAACCATTATCCAGAGAGTTATAAACCTAACAAACCTTTGCTGAAACATATTCATTTAATAGGAAATAAAAGTCTCATTCTGACCTAAAAAATAAGTACCTGAGATCTTGATACTGAATTGCGGAACACCCTGTATATTTCCTACCAATATGTTCTTGAAATAATGGGATTTCTGTGACGACAAAAAATTCGTTGCATGAAAATTCGTATTTTCATATTGTTCGCTCACGATAGCAACTGCTGTCGAAAGTTGATTTGTTAGTTGCTTGTACAAAATCACTATTCTTTTAAGTTCACTTGAATTTCCCAATTTTGACGAAAGAATCATAATGTCCGACTCCTAAAACCCCAGATGAAAATTTTGAATAGAATCAAAACATAAGTACAAAACTCGTCCGCAATATTGGATCTACCATCTTGAATTCCCTAATTTTGACGAAGGAATCATAATTTTTGATCCCGAAAACGCCCACTCCCAAATTTCGAATAGAATCGGTGAATAATTACAAAACTCGTCCGGTAGATTGGTTACACCTTCTTGAATTTCCAAATCCCGCCCTTTCCAAATTTTTACAAAAGAATCATTATCTCCGATCCCGAAAACACCCAGATAACAATTTTGGAGAGAGTCGGACCATAATTACAATACTCGTCCGCCATATTGGGTCCGCCATCTTGAATTTCCTAATTTTGACGAAAGAATCATAATCTCCGACCCCGAGAACCCTACCAGATACCAAATTCGAATATAATCGGATCCTAATTACAAAATCCGCCATTTTGGATCCGCCATCTCGAATTTCTCAATTTTGACAGAGGAATCATAATCCCCGATCACGAAACCCCCTAGGTACCAATTTTGAAAAGGATCGGATTTTAATTACAATACTCGTCCACCATATTGGTTCCGCCATCTTGAATTCCCTAATTCCGCCCGAATTTCCAAATTCTGACGAAAGAATCATAATCCCCGAATCCGAAAATCGCCAGACACCAATTTTGAATAGAATCGGACCATAATTACAAAAGTCGTCCGATATACCAGATCCGCCATCTTGAATTTCCTAATGGTACTGGGATAAAAAGTATCCGATAACCTTTTCCTGGTTCTAAGCTACCTCCCCACCAATTTTCAGCCAAATCGACCCAGTCGTTTCGGAGCCTATTCAGTACATACAAACAAACAATCAAATCTTTTCTCTTTATAATATACAGTGTGTCCATTTAGTGCGTAATTCTTCGATATCTCGAAAGCCATAACCTATAGAGAAAAACTTTGAAAGAAAAACTGCTTCAGTTACTGAAGTTGCTCATTTCAAAAATATTTTCAACATTACTGGGTGTTTCCGAACAAATTACCCCGAAATAGTAGTAAAAGCAAGGAAATTATTCATACCTTGACAACGCCTCAACCGATTTCCATTTTTTTTCAGCGATGTAAAGGCGAAAGATATCGAAAGAAATTTGTGAATGAAAATACAGGGTGTTCCATTTGAAAAATTCTAATGAATATCATCTGAATATTGCAAAATTCTTAATGCAAAATTGAGCACCCTGTTGAAGAACATGTCGAAAAATTACTGGATTGGTATACGTGAGACCTTGCTACTACTGTATGCCGGAAATATTTTCAAAATTTGGATAAATGAAAATACCATGCCCAATTCAACATGACTCTTCAATAGTGGTGAAAATTGGTTTATCAATTATAACTTTGCAACGCCGCAACCAAATTCAATTTTTTTCACAGCGATGTGAAGGTAAACCTCGGCGTAATAAATTCCGTAAGAAAAATACTGGGTGTTCCATTTAACAAAACTCGTCCCCGAGTCGTCCCGCTTTTATAAAACACCCAGTAATGTTGAAAATATTTTTGAAATGAGCAACTTCAGTAGCCAAAGTTTTTCTCTATAGGTTATGGCTTTCGAGATATCGAAGAATTACGCACTGAATGGACACACTGTACAAGTAAAGATTGAACATTCTCATTTTTTGTTCAAGATCAATCCCCAACACACTGTTCCTACCCTGGACGACAATGGTTTCGCCATATGGGAAAGTAGAGCCATCATGACCTACTTGCAAGAACAGTACGGCAAAGATGACAGCCTGTACCCGAAGGATCCCAAACGGAGGGCTGTGGTGGACCAACGCTTGTACTTTGACATGGGAACTCTGTACGCAAGTTTTGCCGAATACTATGTGAGTTCAATTATTTTTTTCAACAAATTCTATTTGGTCGAGACGTTTCCATGTTTCCATGAAATTTCAAAAATTTTCTATATACAGGGTGTCCAATAAGTCGAGGATCAAGAGAAGTCGGGTGGTAGGGGGGGTCATTTCAAATCAAACTAACCGTATATGTGGTTATCCAATTGTTGATGGTTCAAACGTTATTAATGTTTTTTCATTTCTATAAATAGAATCAATTACAATAAAACTATGTCATATTTGTGATTTTTTCTTTCAAGAATTCTTATCAATAACCTGAGAAAATAGTTATTTGTTTAACAAGGCAGCAAAGTAGTAGATTGACTGTCGAGGCTGAATTCACAGCCGAGCGTAGCGAGGCTAGGAATCCAGCTACGACACTCAATCTACTTTGCGGCCGAGTTGAACATATAATTTTTTCTCCGATTGTTCATAATGATATATATCTCTTATTTTTCCTGTTATGTAAAATTAAAATAAAATTTGATAGAAATCGCAGTTGTTGGAATGATTGGTTGGTATGGAAATGTCCATAATAATTATAGTTTAACAATTCATGAAATTTCTGACAGTTGTGCGCAAAAATATCGAATTATTTAAATTATTATATAATGGAGAGTAATAGCGACCTGGAAGTACTTACACCTCCAGAAATGAGGGAGGTGGCAAAAAATATAGAGTTGAATTTGTTGCCGGAGAAGTCTCGGATGAAATATGAAGGAAATTATAAACGATTTATGGATTATTAATTTTGCTGATACATATCAGTCAGCAAAGTAACCACTTTGCTGCCTAGGCAGCACAGTACCCACTTTGCTGCCTAGGCAGGAAAAGTAATACTTTGCTGATTGATATGTGTTAGCAAAATTAATATTTGCTGCCAATCGGAGAAAAATGTTGTTTTCCTTGAATTTTTTCATCGATTTTTAAATGCCGCTGGCAGATTTGAAAACTACCCTACGAAGATAACCAATCATATGGAAAAGGTGCCCATTCAATACAGCTTTCAAAATTGTATAACATATGGGGTTATTCAAAACTGCCTTTTTGTGATTAATTTTTTTCGAATGGGTCGCATTTTTCAGAAAAATTTAATAACTTTTGAACCATCATTAATTTGATGACAACATATACCGTTAGTTTGATTACAAATGACCCCCTTACCACCCCACTTCTTTTGATCCATCACTTATGGGACACCCTGTATAGTATCAGGAGGGGTGAAAGAACTCACAGTCACAACTCCACCACATAAAAAAATTAATAATGACCAACGGTCATGGACATAAGGACATGTTTCGAAGGATCAATCCTTCATCATCAGCAAATTTATAAAAAGGAAATCATCATTGGTGGAAAAAGATTACTTAATAATTAATACGTATATGGGCGTGTGTCAACATTTGACATCTCGCATTTGGATTTTGGATTGATTATTGAGTAAATGAAATGTCTGGTATGATTATTCACCAAAATATGAAGAATTAGCCATAAAAATCATATTTCGTATTGAATTTTCCATATAAAAATGTGTCATTGAAGTTGTTAAAATAAGAAATGCGTGTATCATGTTCTTCATTATTTAATCATATTGAAGGAATTCAAACTTGTTACAGATTTTCAGAAAACAATCTCATTCACAAATATTCAAGAATCTACTTACCACCATAACAACATCACATTGAACTAACTAGACCTTTTTCTCTTTATACAATATCAGTAGATGTCAATCATTCATTTATGTCACTAAATTCCTAATACAGTGTGTTCAAAGTTCATATAAAGTATAGCTTCTAAAATAATAAGAATTTCAACAGAAGTACATCATGAGTAGATATAAAGGGTCTAATGACAAAATAAGTAGAGCAAGTAGTTGTAAATGCATCCAAGACAGGAAAAAAGGCAAAATTTCGAACTTTTTCCTAATATATCTCATTAAATAGTGGTTTGTTCAAATTTTCATTATCAAATTTGGTAAAACTGCATTTATCATGCGATGGGTTTTTTCGAAAATGTTTTTTGGTACTTACGTATTTCTGTCTGAAAAACACGAATTTGATAATGAAAATGTGAACAAACCACTATTTATCGAGATATTTCAAGAAACGGTTCGAAATTTCGCCTTCTCTTTCCCCTTGTATTGGATGCAGTTACAGCTACTTGCTCTTCTTATTTTGTCATTGGACGCTTTATAATATACTCATGATGTACTTCAATGACACATTTTTATATAGAAAATGCAACAGGAATAGTAATTTTCCTAACAAGTTCGGAAAGTGATTCTTTCCCGCACGTGACTGCCGTTGACACGAACGACGCGAAGCGGAGTTCGGGCAAGCAGTCGAGTGCGGGAAAGAAACTTTCCGCATGAGTTAGGAACAATATTTTTTCTACAAGCGTAGGAAATTGATTGAATCGTTCAATTAGTTATGCAAGCAAATAGGAACAACTAACAAGAGATATATATTCTCTATCTATTAATTATAAGTAATAGTTATTGTGAACTTACGCAGTTTGACGCATTATGTTGGTTCATTGCGGAAACCAGCAGGCCCATTAGGAGTTTGGTCTCTAGGTTCCAGACACTTCTATGAAATGAGCCAAAAATACCTTCATTCGGTTTTTTCATTCCTTCATTGTTGCGCACCATTCAATAAAACGCGTATAGCTTCTCATACCTTTCTTAAGACTTCGTTGGTGATAACGAATCTGTATCAAATCCCTATAGCTAGAAGATTTTGATCACATTGTGGCATTTCCACTGAATCGAAAATGACAGTAACGCTGTGTCTGTCACTTCGACAATTTCAAACTTATTTGAGGTTTGATTGGCATGACAAATTGACGTTTCCCGTCAGATCAATCCAAATCTATAGGGGGATTTTTATAATAATCAATTTTTATTTCTCAATATTTCTTAATTTTTACAATAAATAGTGCAATTTGATGGATGATTCGAAACATACATACTCAATACCGCAACAAACAAACTTAAACTTTTATATTCCATCACCAACCACTTATATTACTAGAGATTTTATCATATCTTTGTTTTCCCGCACTAGTGCGGGAAAATGACACTTCCCAAACTAAATTGCGTGCGGGTATAGGGTGAATCACGCACGCTTGTAGAAAAATATGATTTTATGGCGAGTTATTCATATTTAGTGAACAAGCATACCAGATGACGGCCATTTAATCAATAGTCAATCCAAATACGAGATGTCAAATGTCAACAAATTGCTTCTGAATGACATTACAAACGCCATTATTCCATATGACATTCTTCCTTCTTTTCACTAATATGGATATCCCTATGGATGAATCACAAGAAAATCATGTTTCTAGTTGACTCACATAATAGATAAAAATGTGTCGTACATTGTGATATACAGAGTGTTTCTTAAGAACGTGTAGAAAATTCAGGAGCATCTTGCTGACGTCTAAATAGGACGAAAAGTTCGTATGAAAATATATGTCCGAAAGTTATCCGTTTATGAGATACAGAGTGTCAAAGTTTTCTGATATTCACTAGAGGCGACTTACGAGCCACATGGAAATAATTCGAGAGCATCGATTATATCGAATCCCAATAACTCGAAAACAGTTGCTCGCAGCGACCTCTACCAAGAATATATTTTTCACACAAAAGTGTTCTAGAAATCTATTTTTTCACTATGAAACGTTATACAGGTACGCACAAAAAAGTTATAACTTTTCAAAATACTCAAAAGACATGTAGGTGGCGCCACCCCCACGAAAGAGACAAAATTACATGAAATTTGATATTGTCATTGAAAAATACACCTAAATACCAAATTTTATACCGATATCACAATTATTTTGAAATTCATCAACAAAAAACAAAAATAGGGATTCGACTTTGACACTCTCTGTATCTCAGAAACGAATAACTTTCGGACATATATTCATACAAACTTTTCTTCTTATTTTGACGTCAGCACATGCTCCTAGATTTTTCACACGTTTTTAAGAAACACCCTGTATATAAATTGTCCAATGATGGAGTAAGGGCATATTGTTTTAAATGCGATCCAGAAGACAGGAGGAAAAGATGGTGAAATTTGTAACTTTATAGTGAAATATCTTAATAAATGATGGTTTCTTCACAATTTCATTATCAACCTCGTGTTTTATAGACAAAAATACGTGCGTACCAAAAAAAAAATTTCGAAAAAAATCAATCGCATGATAAATGCAGTTTTACCTCAAATTTCGTGTTTTCATGACAAAAATACGTAGGTAACGAAAAATTTTTTCTGAAAAAAAAACCCATCGCATTTTCACGATCCCTGCCTTCCTATGGGATAAGACGAGTGGATCATCTTTGAGGGTAGCTCAGATAGGGTAGATTATATTAATTCAAGACACTACTAGTTATGGGGTATGAGGAATAGTGAAAACCATATCCAAAACATAGATACATTTATTCGATTATCATCGTATAGAAGAGGAATCATTATAGATACGACATACAATTCATAAACTGGTTAAATAGTAGGTACTTACAATATAGATAGAGCCATTTTCGGGTAGAACGCACAAAGACCTAACTGAACTGATTAACGTGATAACCGACTGTACAAATCGACAGTTTGCACCAACGACAGCAACTATTCAAATACCGATCATCATCTGCCTTCTGGAATATCCACAAATCTATATACTGTTATTGTTTAGGTAATTCTTGGTACGTTGCTGTTGGAGGTTACTCAGTCGATAGGTTGTTGATGAGTCATTGCCAAAACGTGTTTCAAATGTTTATAAACTTTCGGTGCGATGGAAAAAGCACGATTTGGAAATTACAAGAATATTGAATTAATGATTTCGATTATAATTTTGGTATTAGGCAATTTCACTATGATTGAAAATAGCCCTTTTTATATGGCGAACGGTCTCATACATGACTCAGTATATCAAATAGCACTTCCTCTCATTTATCGATTCCTTTACAACCGTTCAATTAATACTTCAAAAGTGCTACAAATCGAGAGAGTACCAAACGACCATTTTTCGCGGTGTGACGTCACTTGTATTTTCTTGAGGCTCCCTCTGACGACCCAAAGAGGATGCATTGCACAAAACCACAGACACAGAACTCGAGCACAGAGTGGTTGGGTGATCTGTGACTTGAGAGAAAAATGGCTACAAAACAAACTATAGAAGAAGAAAAAGATTAACCTCGAAATCTAGTTCATAGTTCATTATTTCATTTCAATTTCAGTGATCCCCCCAAAGAGGTCTTTGAAGGATATTGAAGTATTGTTTTTGTTCTTCTCTGGCATTTCTTTGTTTGCCTACTGAGTGGTATCCCTGGGATGTTTTAGAAATGTAGGCGTGAGGCGTGAGGATGTTTTTATTGAGTGACAAATGCAATGACAAATGGTGCCAAGACGAATTACCTGATGAGAATGTCCGTCCGAAGTGTATGACGCGGTGTGACGCACCTTGTATTCGTCCAATGAAATGCCATCAATATTTCGCGCGCATTCGAGCTATATCGTTTGAATTTAGGTTCAATTTAATAATTTTTTTCTGGGTCAACCGCAATCGTAAGAAAATTGAAAAAATGCTGAATTCACTCAGTATGTGTTCTGAATCGTGAAAAAAAATTGAAAAAATCATGGTGAAATTCCCTATTGTGACAGCATGATAAGAGCAAAATTACCGAGTGAATTTATAAATATGCAATCAATCACTTTCAGTATCCTGTTATCTTCGGAAACGGTTCCTATGACCCGGCAAAACTGGTAAAGATCAACGACGCCTTCAAATTCCTGGATACCTTCATCGGAAATAACGACTACTCCACCGGCAACACCCTCACGCTTGCAGATCTGGCATTGGTTTCCACCGTCTCAACCTTCGAGCAGATGAAATTCGACCTCTCTCCCTACAAGAACGTCTCCAGATGGTTAGCCAAGGTCAAGGCAACTGCTCCTGGCTACGAAGAAGCCAACGGGAAACCTTTGCTGGCTTTCCAAGAGCTGGTTGACAGACTAACTAAGGACAAGAAGTAGAAGGTTCACCGCCTACCATGGTGAAAAGCGGTCTCTATAGTGGTTAAAAATTTGAATTTTATATTGAATATAATGGTTTTCATATACCATGGAACTGTGATCGACTACAGCTTTGCGCATTGGCAGAATCTCAACTGATGAGCTTTATTTCAGAAGAACTCATGGCTGAAGTACTCGCTGTTTCAGTTTTTATCTTTTGGAGGGCACGAAAAAGAATCTCTGCTATCATGTTCATGGAACGGCTTTGCTGGGCAAAGAATTCTACTAGCAAACGAGTTTTTGTAGATTTTTGACAGTACATTGCTACTCATTCTTTGGTGAAAAACACGAATGCAATGCAATCGTTAACGAGATATGCGTCCACTATAGAGGCCATTGGATACCACGTTGGGTTACCTACTATAGGTAGAACAAGAGTTTTTTATTCAATACCTGTTTCATGTTTAAATATAATCATATATAGAGGAGTGATTCACATGAATAAATATGTATAATTCACCTTCAGTAAAAAAAGTTTTAAAGGAATTGGATAATTTGATCTGGTATCTGATACTTAACAATCTATAATATACTACCATACTAAGATTTCAAGATCAATTTCACTTGTGTTCAATGTATATTTTCATGAAACAAATAATCATAAAAGTTGTGTATTCATAGTATATCAGTTTTTATTATAAAATCTGGGATCCATTCAGTATTTTTTGTAACACTGTTAATATCAATAAAGTTGAACACAATAATGAAGAAACCCGCTTTTTGTGTCATGTAACTATGTGGCTGATGGTCATATATTTTGTATAAATTTCTGTGAATCAAGATTACCCAAAGATCACTAGGTACATATCTACTGCTACTACTACTTCTACTACAGAAATATCCTTAAAACAATGATGGAAATAAGTAGATGGTGTACTTACTGATGAGCTCGTGTTTCAGAAATTATTCTTCTCGACCTCTCGAGAACAATGTTGTTGTTGATAGATGGTGACATTGCAAAATTATAAAATCTGTAAATTTTTAAATTGCCGCAGATTTTTCGAATTGAGAATGAAATAAACCCACTTTCACATGTTTCGCGTACCTAAAATGCCATTTGCCATTATATTTTCACTCGTTACAGCAGCAATAGCAGCATATCACCATCTATACAGTGTGTCCCACTTACCATGCTCACCATGGGTATCTTTTTAACAGTGAGAGATACGAGGTCGGTCAAATGACACCAAATGTGAAGTTTGTCAAGAACAACTATAATGTGAAAAAATATTTCGATAAAATCTATTCGTTTTTGTTTTATACGCAAAAACCAGATTTTGATCATTTTCATGTCTCCTCCGTAACTTCTTTATTTATAAAAATATTCAAATAGGAATTTCACATTCTCATGGCATTTTTTTAAAGCGATTTCGGAAAAAATATGAAATTTATACCAACTCTTCTAGAATTTGAGATATCAGCACCAACTTTAGTTTTTCAAATGTAGGTCATAGCTCACTATAACTTAGTTACAAACAACTTTTTTTTTCTCTTACAGATGATATGTCGCAGTATAGGTTTTGTGTTGATAACAACGGAGTTTTCGTCATTTATACAAAAACAAAAAATTATTTGGAAGCCGTCATCTTGAATTTATAAATTTTAACAAAAAATCATGATCTTCGACCTCAAAAACCCCCACTTACCAATTTTGAATGGAATCGGACCAAATCTTGTCCACCATCAATTTAAAAAAATGGCTGCTCCAAGAGAAGAACTCACGGCGCAGGCAGGTCAATGCTGTCAATGAAGATCTTGATGAAATCACAGCCTGGGGAACAAACAACCTAGTTGAATTCAACGCCACCAAAACTCGAGCCTGTATTTTCTCTAGAAAGGCGGAACTCAGTATGCCCGATATTGTAATGTCTGGCTCCACCATCCCCACCAAGCCCACCATATCTATGCTCGGCATTTCCATCAGCAACACTCTTTCATGGGATAATCATGTCAGATCCATCGCAAAAGCTGCTTCACAAAAACTCGGATTCTTGTTCCGTGCGAAAAGCTACTTTACACCTCAACAGCTTCTCATGATCTACAAAGCGCAGATACGGCCTGTTCTAGAACCCAATCAGCACCAGACATCTTAAAGACGTACATTTTACAGCTTACTTACGTCTTTACGTCCAGGGACGTATAAAGTACGTCTTCAAGATGTAAATCCATGTACATCTTAAAGACGTACACGAATTTACGTCTTTAAGACGTAGATTTCAGGTCGTATCCACGTCGTTCCTCCCATGTCGTATAAAAGACGTCTTAAAGACGTACATTCCAGTACGTCAATTCGACTTATAGAACAATAATGTAAGTTATTTTCTGAAGAAAAACAAAATGTCATCTCTTCACGTTTTTTATTTTCAATTGTTCAGTTTTTTCTTATTTTCAACAAAAGTGATGTTTTTGAATTTTTTCGTCCGACATTTTGGAGCCTTCGTGTTAGATTCTCGAATTTTTACAAAAAAAATCATATTCTCCGACCCCAAAAGTCCCATAGTAATCAATTCTGAATAAAATCGGACTATAATCACGAAACTCGTCCGCCATTTTGAAGCCGACATCTTGGATTTTTCATTTTCGACAAAAGGAATTATAATCTCTGATCCCGAAATCCTTCAGATGCCAATTTTGAATCAGATCAGACCATAATCAGAAAACCATATGCCACATTGGATTCACCATCTTGAATATTGAATTTTGATTCGAATCGGAACATAATCAATGAGAAAATCGTCCGCCATATTGGATCCGCCATTCTGTTTTTTCCATTCAATAATAATATCACAACGAATTATCACCGGAATAATATTTACTTGCCAAATTTCAAATCAATCGGACGATTTAAAGTGAGTCAAATTTAACTTGCACGTTTTGATTACAAACAGACACAAGGACATGTTAAACTAAGTAAAAGCTTGTTATGTGATATATAGAACAAACAGAGTAACAGAAGAAGTGAATATGGTATAATCATCAGAAGAAGATCAGAAAAAACCAGAAAATCGACTACGATCAGGTACCAGATTACATGAAAGAAAACTTGTTTAAGAGAGTGCCAGAGCAGCTGAAAGCAAGAGCATTTCTCATGTTTTATGAAAAGCTGGACCTGAGAGTAGACGATTTTGACTCGTGGAAGGATTTTGCTGGAGGAAGGGCACCTCGGTATTCTAGACGGAGAAGACCGAATAATGAAACTACAAAGGTAGTCCAAGAAATAAATAAACAAATGAGTCTGGAAGCGAAGCCCGAGGACTGCCCCAGTAATCTCTGGGAGCTGGCACATCATACCCACCCCCATGAGACACTAGAAGAAAGGGCCAACAGAATCAGGGAGGCGATGCGAGAGAGAAACATCAGTAAGGACGAGATAGAAAATACTCATATAGACATAACCAGCCAAACAGGTCCAGATGAGTGGGATGCACTCTCGCTCGCCTCCTCTGCCAGAGTAAGTACGTCCCCCACACCACGAGTATCGATTGAGATAGAAAATCAGGCAGAAAGGGATAGAAGATTGAGAGCAGTATGCAAAGCAATCTCTGTCACTCCACCTGCTAGCTCGCCACCGAAATCTCCATGCTGCCACCGAAAGGTCGCTTACTAGTGCGTGTTCGGATTCTCTAGAGGCCGGAGAGTTTAGGTCGGAGAAAGTTAAGATGCTTAACCCATCAAGACAACACTCAGCAACATCAGTAAGATCGACGGCCAAAACCAAAACAGTAACCCTTCCCACAACCTTCGTCTCCAGATATGAGACCGAGGAACCGGAAGAGATGCCTGCTATACCTGCAAAATACAGGAAGTACATCATCCACGATGAACTGACGCATGAAGGAGCGATGGCAAAAAAGATTCAGGCTGCGGAGGAAAACCTCTTGAACCATATGGCCAAGATCACACCAGAAAAGATGGACATCACATCACCTCCCAGACGTCTAGAGAAGAGGCCAAGGGAACAACTGAGTGTGCCTGCTGACAACACACGAAGCAAAAAACATAAAATTCAAGAGGAAGATGGTTTTAGGAAGCCTAGGAAAGTATCCAAATGGTCTAATGCTTTCCAAGCTAGAGAGAACACCACTAGGATACAGAACAGATATGAACCCCTCAGAATAGAGGAAGAACCAACACCAAGCCAGGAACTCGATGCCATATCGGAAACGTCTGCATCAGAGCAGGAAGAGGCACCAAAAGCTGGCAGGAAAGAAATGCCTAGGAAAAATCAAGAAAAAGCGGGAACATCACGAACAACGCAAAACTTAAATAAGAAAGGGGAAAAACCTCCGCCGATTATCTTCGACGGCATACTCCGTGATAGGAGTGAAATTATTCCCCTCATAAAATCGTTGACAACGAAAAAATTCCACTTTAAATATGGGGGGGACTCCACGCTCCTATACACGGAATGCACTGAGGATTTCGAATCAATCAAGAACAGGCTCAAGGAAGATGAGGTATCGTTTTATACCTACTCTCTCAAGAAAGACAAAACCCACGCATTTGTGTTGAGGGGCTTGGACTTTGAGCCTGAGCCCTCCGAGATAAAAAACGAGCTAGAAGACGAGTATAAATTCAAAATCAAGGAGGTCTACAGGCTCAACACGAAATATAGGCCTCTCTATCTGGTTGTAGTGGACCCGGTTGTCACTCTTCGGCTCCTAAATGATAAAGTAAAGACATTAATGTCCGTTAGGATCTCGTGGGAGCTGAGGAGGAACAACCGGGCAGTCACACAATGTAAGCGCTGTCAGCAGTGGGGCCATGCCACCAGCAACTGCTACAGGGACCACAAGTGCCTGAAGTGTGCTGGTGGACACCCCACTGCTGACTGCAAGCTACCTAAACAGGAGCCGGCTAAATGTGCGAACTGTGGTGAAGCCCATCCGGCTAACTACAGTTCGTGCATTAGCTATATTCGCAGAATTGAAATCATCAACAAAAACAAAGTCAGACAACCAGGTGGACGGACCTATGCCCCAGCCCCGCCCCTTACCACAAATGTGTGGGAAAAAAGAAGACTTGAGAGAGAGGCCAGCCAAATAACGGGGACCAATGTTAGAGAGGCCAGGCAGCCCACCAGGAGAGAAGATGTAACTCACCCCACACCAACTACGCAGAGAGGACCTGGGGTTGGCAGGGGAATCGAGACGATAACGAGCATCGCCG